CTCGGTAGGGTTTTTCCCATTCGACAAAAACCCATATTTTAAAAATTCAAACAAATAAATCGAAATTTAAAAAAACCACCTCTTCCTTTTCGTGATTTGGTTTCACAATTTCTTCGACCTCAGTTTCAAAAACAATCCAAGAAATACTTACAACTGAATTTTCCGGGGAATTGGAGCTTGGTAGATTCGAAGAAAGAAGGAAAGAAAACACAAATCGGAAAAGTTGGGAAGAAAGTGGGGGACAATGAGTACTGGGTTGGATCCGTCGATGACTTTGCTGGCAGCAAGCGGCGGCGACACCGTGAAGCTCTTCGATGTGTCGGACAAGTCCGCCGATCCCCTCGTTTTGAGCTACACTCCTTCTCCTGGTTCCCATGTCAATTCGCTCAAGTGGAATCACACTAGTCAGTCTCTCTCTCTCTCTCTCCCTCCCCTCAATTGGATGATGGGTTTTGCTTTCTGCTGTCTGTGTTTATAGGCTTTGAAAAAAAAAGGATCTTTGTAAACGAGAAAATTTTGGTCAATTTTTGCTGCATTTTCTTAGCTGCCAAACAGTGGGTTTAGTTTATTCAATGTGGGTTGTGTTTTGCAGATATGGTGGTGGCTAGTGCTGGAGATGACAAGAAGATATCGTTGTGGAATAAGAATGGGAAGAGCATGGGCACCATTCCGCTGGCCGGAACCGAAAGCGGAGACGGCATTGAGGTAATTCAGTTACAATTATATAATTGAAGTAGATTTGGCGTGACAGTAATGTGAAAAGGTAAATGCTTGAGAGAATGTGTTGGGTTAGTAGTTGATATTCTGCTGGTGGAACTATTTATGCAGGAGTCTATATTGGCTCTCAGCTTCGGTAACAGGGTTTCTAGATACATCTGTTCGGGTGGAACCGGTCAGGTTGTAAGAATATGGGATTTGCAGAGAAAGCGGTGTATCAAATGGTTGAGGGGTCACTCTAGTACGATTACGGGTGCAATGTACAATTTCAAAGATGAGCACTTGGCTTCCATCAGTCTTAATGGGGACGTCATACTTCACAACCTTGCATCTGGTGCAAGGACTACTGAACTCAAGGACCCCAATCAACAGGTTGTCTTCTCGTTGCATCTTTTGCGTTGAATATTACCATGGTCTTTGTGGCTTTGAGTCCTTAGTTTCCAAACTAATTGGTTGTTTGCTGGTTTTTAAGACCAGGTACTAAGAGTGCTTGACTATTCCCGGATTAGCCGACACCTTCTTGTGACAGCAGGTGATGGTGGGTCTGTACATTTGTGGGACACAACCGCTCGTAGCCCAAAGGTTTGTAGTAGGTTTAATCAAATATTGATGCTGTGCTGGGTTCTCTTGGCCTTTTGTGTTTGCATTCCCATTGGGAGATGGAAATTAAATTTTGTTCCCGGTCATGGAAAACAGGCATATTTGAAACAGAGATTAGTTACATTTCCCTTTTTTTTTTTTACAACTTTCCGACTCCCCAAACCCAAAGAGAGCATTGATCTTTGATAGCAGTAATGGTCAAGTATTATCCCTTTATTAACTTTCTTGTTTATCACTTCCGCTGTATTAAATCTAGGCATTGTTGTTAAGTTGAAAAATACTCACTTCCCCCATTGAGTCTTGTTTCTCTTAGTTTATGTTTTACTTGTAATTGAATTGGTTTGTTTCTTTCTTCTTATCTTCCCTTTTTCAAACTCTTTTACGCAGGTTTCTTGGCTGAAGCAGCATTCTGCACCAACTGCTGGTATCAGTTTCTCTCCATCTAATGACAAGGTCTCATAAATACATATAACTTTACATTTTGTAGTCCATTATTTTTTATAAGACAAGAAGGCTATATATCAAGTGCTACTAAATTGTGAAGATTTTTCTTAGAGTCAGAATATGTAGAGACGTATTAACTAAGCCTTCTGATATTCAAAATATTTTCCTCTTGATAGGTGTTTGCTACAGTTGGGCTTGATAAGAAGTTGTATACTTACGACACAGGGTCGAGACAACCTTCACATTGCATTTCCTATAAAGCACCTTTCTCTTCATTGGCATTTAGAGGTGATGGTTGGGTATTGGCAGCTGGGACAAGCAGTGGTGATGTGGTGTTCTACGATGTCCGTGGTAAACCAGAGCCCTTCACTGGTATTCGTGCTTATAGTAGTTCAGAGGTCTCTCTCTCTCTCTCTCTCTCTCTCTCTCTCTCTCTCTGCACTGTTCCTTGAAACATTGAATTTTGGAAAAACTTGTGTTGTCTCTAGTATTTTTTATTTTCCTATCCTTTATAAAATCCAAATTATTTAACACTAGGTGTCGTTTTCATTACTAAGGATCAAGATACCTCATCATGAGGATTAGGGGTCGGGCTCAAACTTTCGATATCCTTGGTTAGGTAGATATATCACAAGGATGTTCTCATGGGGACACACACTAGGGTGTTTAGCTTTTAACAAGCAGTCTTCATGTATGACTCAGTAGGGTGTTTCACTTTGTTTGTACTAATCGTTTATAGCATTCATCAGGCTGTTACAAGTCTATGCTGGCAAAGGTCAAAACCTGTCGTTGTAAACGAAAGCAATTGTACTGTTGAGACTGCTCTTTTAGGAGATGCTGTTGAAGATTCAATGCCAGACCAACTTCCTTCTGTGACTTCATCAAGTCTTTCTCTATCTATGGCAGTATCTAGTTCTCGAAATTCAGGCCGTTCAAGTTTATCTGCAGAGACAACTTCAGTTACAGCAGCTGGCAGTGGACTAACATCAAGCATACTTTGTGTATCTACTGGAGAGGATACACCGCAACGAGGTCGTTTATGGCCTGGTGGAACATTGCATAGATTGCATCCTCCTCGATCTACTTATAACTTCAAGGATGATATGGAGGTGTTCTCCCCTCTTGTGGACGTTCATCCAATCACACCTTCACTTGACAAACTTTGGGATGATGACAAATCAAAGAAGGATAATTTGTCCGGTAGGAGATTCCCTTTTGCAGAAGATGGGGCCAGTGATCATCCAATATTTGATTGGAAACCCAGTTCAACATCTACACAGGTCTCAGTTATCCATATCTTTAATTTTCTTGGATGAATGCTTAATGTGAAATGTTCCAATTTTTTTTTTTTTTTTTTTTTTTTGAACAGACGATATTATCTACACTAAGTAGAACTATTTTAATCTTCTTAACAATTGTTTTTTCGACTAACAACTTAACAAGTTCAGTTCTTACCATTAGATTTCTGGACTAGCATGTCTTTATTGTTCTGTAAATGGTAAACCAAATGAAATGTTAGATTGAACGTAACCATGTATGCTAGGCAGCTAGAGTGTAGTTACTCCTATGTAAGTAAATTCATTTGCTATTTTTGGGGTGGGGGTGTTAAATTTCATGATGCCTTTGTTGCATATGCATTGTTCTGAATGATAATTTGTGTTATTCCTTGGTGCAGGATGACATAAAATCGTCATTTGCACTATTAGAATCAACTCCTGCACCATCTTCCAAGAGCGAAGACCCATCCATCACCCCTCCAGAAGCTTGGGGTGGTGAGAGATTTTCTGATAAGTTCCGCCAGCCAATCACTTTTACATCTCGCATTGGGATGTCGGCTCAGACATCAGGACCAACTTTATCTGGACTGCCAGATATGTCTTTAACAGCAAAGTTTGCAAATTTGCGCACCAAAGATTTGTCTTCCATTCAGGAGACTTCATTAGGATTTCCAGAACACATTTCTTCGAGTGCTATGCCTATGTCCCCTGGTAACAAAGCCCTCTTGGGACAGGCTAACCTTGATTCACCAACATCTTTGACCTTGCCTCGGAGATTCTCAACTTATGCAGAGAGGATAAGCACTACTTCGAACTTCAGTGATCGAACGTCCCTAGCAGTGAGTTCGCCAAAAACAAAGAAAACAGGAGCCGAAGGCAGAGAAGAACTGTTGAATAGCATCTTGTCAAAGTCAGATACATCAACTGCCACAGAATCAGGGGTTCTTCCAGCAATGAATGTATGGGTAACAGATTTATTGGATAAGTCATCGTCTTTGATTTGGTCATATTACATGCTTTCACCTCTTGATTTTATGCTGTCATTCAAATTGGAAACCAGTGATGAATTTGTTAGGAGAAGCCACCACCGATGTTTATCATGTTGCCCTTTACCGTCATACTAGAATATTATTGTTAACTCGACGATGATGATTGTGACAGGGTGGAAGTTCACATCTCCAAAATGCACCCCAACAAGATGCACAGCAGGGAAGTTCCTTTACATTTCAGATTTTTCAACGTACTCTAGAAGAAACTCTCGATTCTTTTCAGAAATCCATACATGAAGATATGAGGAACCTTCATATAGAAATTTTAAGGCAATTTCATATGCAAGAGGTACGCATCTGCTATGTTGTAGTTCCCTTTTCATTTTCATGTAGTTCCTAATGCATTTTCTGGAATCATTTCACAGACAGAAATGTCAAATGTGATGACTGCAATGCTGGAAAACCAAGCTGAGCTGATGAAAGAAGTTAAGTCTCTCCGGAAAGAAAACCAGCAGCTCCGGCAATTGCTTTGAGCATCGGTGACGATTGTTAATTGTTTTGATTATTTTTTGTGGATTTGGGATACGTCTGTTGTTCAGTGTTGTAATTTGCTCTCCATCAGCGGTCGTTTGTTCTATAGGTAGACTAGAATTGCTTCTCTCGGCCGGTGGGGCGAGGTTTAAAGAACAGGTAGAAATGCAAGTGCTATAGGAAGTAGAGTTTGTAAGCATGTACAGAATGATCATTCCCTGCCAGAATGAAGGCTTTGATTCGGGTGAAAATTACAAGCATTATGATGTTTCAGCTCATATTACTCCACTCCTACTGTTACACAATCGAGCTCGTCTTCAAATCTCTTGGACATGCTTTCAGGGTAGAAGATCCCAACTCGCATCGAGTATTAGAGCACATTCAAACGAGCACTAAGTCAGCTAGGTTATGAGAGATCTTCGAGGGATGTTAACTAAAATGATTTGCTTTTCTGAAAAACATGACTGAAATTGCAGATATTATTGTCTTTCATACAAACAAATCCGTCGACAAAGAAATGAAACGTCTCAATAAGGTCGTGTTGTTATAGCGATACAGGGGTGAGGAAAATAGCCCCACCCTCAAACAAAACGCCGGTATCTTGTTTAAATGTAGCCGCTAAGAAACGCCGACACGAAATATGTGGCAGTTGAGAACATACAGTATGTAGCAGAAGCACGTTGAGGCAGTCGGCACTTGACCACCTCGGAGTCCCTGGGAAATTAGAACGGTTCATGGCTTTTCCCAAGCGAATACAGAAAATCTTGAAGTTCGACAGACTTGCAAATAGGAGGCTTCAGCTTCGTAGTACGCCTCATTTCTTGATGAATCTCAACACATCGCCAACAAGATGTAACGAACCAGTTACAAGGACCTGATATATAAACTTTGGTTCCATGAAAGTGAAAAACAAAATATACCAACCTCCTAAAAACCGGCATTACCTGAAAACGGACAGATTTACTTTGCCGGACACTGTCCCTGAGCCATTGTATAGCTGACGGGAGGGACGGAAAAACTGCACTATTTTCGCAACTTTTGACGGCGATTTCCTTATCATCTGTTAGTTCTTCACGAACAGTGCCTGCGCTATTGTCATCGCCTCCTATTAAACTCAAAATATACAAACACTTCCAACTGGGAAATACAGTGCACTCCTGAATTATATGGTATGTGTATATATGTGTGTATATACATATGTTGTTTGAAGACCAAGTTAACTTAATTGACATTTTATGTTATAAGCCACATACCTTTGTTACCCATCATTAAATTTTCCCACACTTTTTGAAGAGCGAACTGCCACGACAAATCCACCTGAGAATCAGTCGGAGGCAAGGAATGCGATCCGACCTTGTGATTCACTGATGTGTTTGGTACAAACAGAGCCTTCTTGAAGTAGACACCTAAAACCAAAATCTCATAAGTTCCTTCAAAAAATAGTTCAAGAAAGTTGAAGGAAGGTGAGGTACCGCCATAAAACCAATTGGCAATAGGGGAGTGGCCTAATTCCTTATAAACCCGTCTTAACTTTCCAATCACGGATCCTCACAAAATTCATTGTAGATCAAATATATAAAGAATGAATCTGAACCTATAAATTCCTTTTAGATCTTCAAAAGACGAAAATTCAGGGGATTACATCAAGTAATGTGTATGCTCACCGTGACTGGCACATGTTTTCATCAGGTTCGGAAGAAGCAACTGAGGATCCCTCACTGACATACAATTAAACAGCAATATCTGCAAGTATTTATCATCATCTTTTTCTCAGTAACAGCAAGAGGAAAATGAATATCTCCAAGGCTTGTAAAATAAAGCGTCTACCTGTTCTGAATTCTTCCTGACTGTTTCAATAGGGTGCCTCTGTACCCAATCATGTGATGATCTAGAAGTACCGGGTGGCTGAACAGAATGAGAAAACCATCTAGCGCATATTTCCATGCTTTCTGGGCTATGTGCACCGTCCAAATAAAACACGAGATCTTCAGGGCTTTCGCTGTTAATAAAGCGATCAGGAACTATTTGAGCCCGTCCTTGTAAACTGACTTTAGCAGTTAGTCCTTTGATGTATTGCTCCGGCAGAGAGGTCTGTTCCATTTGTATATGCATATAGATCCATCAACATAGATATCAAGAATAAAGCGGAGAGCTGATTGCTCATAGAACTTACACTATGTTCGGGGTATTCAAGGTGACCGGTCCTCTGGAGCCATGTAGAGGACAGTGCAATAGCAAGACCAGCATTAACATACTGGTGCTCGCCTTCTAGCCCAAGTTTTAAGCCATTCAGCATATTAGGATCCAACGGTCGTACGAGTTGAAGGGGTACCTGGAACCAGCATAATCTCTCAGTTCATTGAAGACATTCTGTGAGTTTTCTATTTAGCTCATGCTCCTTCCAACATGGTAGTTATGACTTAACAACTTTGTAGTCCTTAAAGAACCTAAATTCAGAATCCTACGACTTCCGATAAAACATAAGTATCCTAGGATTGCAGAAGAATGCAAGTTGAGACTTAAGCTGCAAAGGGTGCCAGTGAATGTTTAAGAGCATGTCAGTACTTAAAGGGGTTCTTAAAACAACAATGTGCACAGAACGTATCTCAAAACTTTGATATAATTATCTGTTCGTTAGGAGTTCATCTACTTATTAGATGAGCGCTTGTATATTACAGTTTTTCTAGAAGAGACATCAAATTTCTTACATTCTGTATCATGCATTTTCAATTCTGAGGGAAACAAAATCAGTGAAGGGTAATGTCATGCAACCTACATCCAACCGAGAAGCCTTCTCTTCCAGTACACGCATTGCTTCATCAGGTTGAGGCACAGTAAAGGCAGGAACCCTAGACTGAATTGAAAGCAAAAACAATGGGTACAGTAACAGAAGTGAGTCTAAGTTCTGTGAGACATATTACCAGTCATCATATGCATTTGAAAAATGTAATTTTAATGAAAACCTTGAAGATTCCAGCCTTCTCCCCTGCAATTGCTCCCAGAGTATTTCCTATTTATAGCATACAACAAAGAAAACAAAATCAATTATGCGTATTAGACATCCGTGGACATGTATTAATCTTTGTATATCGTGTTGCTAGACAATCTGGACTGCACATTCAAGCAATAATCCACTTGATCAATGGCCCAAAATGACAGTTCAGACACCAGAACATGCCAGCTAGTAATTGTATAGCATTTCAACTACATAAAACATTTGCATATGTTCTTTGTATTTATATTTTCAATTAAAATGTCTCAATTACTCACATGTAAATATATAGGTTTGAGAAAACACTAACCAAGAATCTCCATGTGGTCATAGCCAAGGGAAGATATACCACAGACAACAGGTGCCTGAACCTGAAACGTTAATGCATCCGTACTCGGTTATTGTCAAAGTAAGCGAATTAATGAATTTCGTACTCAAATACCATTTCACATACCACATTCGTTGCATCAAACCTACCGCCTAACCCAACCTCCAGGATAGCAACATCTACCTGCATAGAAGATTAAAATAAAAGCAACATTTCTGATTCACATCATCGATATCAGTAGCATTTCTGGAGAGGAAGGATGTTACATGGAAGCAACCAAGAAGATATGCATCAAACCTGTTCTGCTGCAAATATTTTGAAGGCAAGCAAGGCAAGGAAGCGAAAGTAGGTAGGCATTGGTATATCGTCAGTAGCTTTTTCCTGCATTTGCAATACAAAGTTTTACATTGATCAATACATAGCAGAACGAAAAAGTGCTAATTCACAATTACAAACACAGGCATCGAAAGAATAGAAAGACGCCCAGCAAAGATAAAAGAAAACCAAGCACGGATTACCTCAAGTCTCTCGAAACACCACCAGAAATATGCTAAAAATTTCTCTTCATTGATGTCCACACTGTAGCAATCAACCAAAACAAGAAAATTTAAATTTTTGAAGGCAAACACATTGCATAAAAACTTACAAAACTTACTTGGTAACATGGCAGTTATATGAAAGCAACTAGGCCTACGCTTACCCTAAACTCACCCATCCAACCGAAATCTTTCTCGAACATCAATGAGATGAGGAGACGTGAAAAGTCCAGTGCGAAAACCGCAATGGCGTAATATCGACTCTGTGAAGGTGCAGGTGGATCCCTTTCCAATCCCCCAAAACAAGAAAACAGCAATCAGTCCCACATCATACATAAACAAGTAACTAAGGCCAGTGTATATATAGAGAGTCACAGTACTAAAGAAAAGTTTGTAACTTCAAATATATTAACGATAAAGTGTAGCGATTTTAGCACTTCTCTTGAACCATCTGCGCTCTAAACTGAATATATTACAATTTTTTCCGCACTCGCAAGTCACAAGAGAAGTGTGAAAATTACTAAACTCCAAAATTCTGTATATACCTTGCCTTTGGTGCCAGCAACGTGAATAATCTTCATCTGTGCAATTGGCTCCTCCAACTCCAGAATCTGCATGTTATTACATAAACGCCATTAATACTCGAATTTGCAAACACATGAGCTCAAATACGACGTCGCTTAACCAGTGAACAAAGCTCCTGTATTTTTCAGAAGCGAAAGAAAATTTACTTTGAGATAGTCGAAGAGGAGGTCGAAGCGGTCGCCCCTGTTGCTCTTATCGGCACGACTGCGTTTGGTGATCAAGGAGGATAGAGCGGCCAATGCCTTCTCGTAGGGAGTTGCCGGAGGCGGCGCCGAGGAGCCATTGCCGCCTGCATGCAAAACAACGAATGAATAGATAGGACGAGGAGGAGGAGGAGGAGGAGGAGGGGGTCGTATAATTTCGTATTTACCTGCTTCCACCATGGCGAGCGGAGTGGTTGGTTTAGATCTGAATCGAACGGAGAGTAATATGTATAGAAGGTGAGTATTTAAGCGCTAAAAGATAAAGGGATTGGGGTTGAAAGGTTGAAAAAATAAGGAACAAAGACATGGTGACGTGACGTGATGGATTAGCAAACGAACAAACCAAACATTTTTCTGCTGTGCGCAAATACCCTCTGCCAAGCCTGTCATGGTTAGTTAAAGACCTAACCGCCCGTGACTCGGGCTACGGACTCCGCTCCTGGGAACTTGGACACCCATGCAGGAGGCCATGCCAAACGTCCTAAGTTAGTTTCGAGTCCAAAACCAAAATCAAACCGTCTGAACATGGACAGAGCTATAAAAAATTTCTAGTGGGGCAACCGAAAATAGTTAAGAAAACCTTATTATAGTATGGTTATACGCAATATGATATTAAGGATGATTTCAAATAATGATGTATCACAATTTTAATGTTACAAAAATTTCAACATAGTAGTAGAAAGTGGCAAAGTGATGAAAAAAATATAAGTACATGATAGGCAAGGGGATGGTTTTTTTGGTTGGAATGATAGAACAAGAGCACTATTGCTCATATAATATTTGATTTGGAGTATAAGTAGAATGAATGTATGTTGGATATTAGATACATATTTTCTTCAAAGATAACTGTGTATATTATATAATTATAGTCTGCAACTAAACATATTAATTACTTGAGTGGGGGCATCTGCCCCCCATTGAGCCTTCATTGGCTCCGTCCATGCGTCTGAATGTTACTTAGTATTACGGTCTAGTGGTATTTTGTTTTAGTTGTAAAGCTAGGAGCGAGAAGTCTCAGGTTCGATTCTCGCAAAAAATGAATTGAACTACATTATTGGTAGCCCATTGTGAGACTTAGCCCATCCCTTTGCCTTTTAGTGTAAAAAATATTATTTGTAAAAAAAATTAAAAAAAATCAAATCGTCCAAGTTTTTTTGAGTGAAAATCGTCCGAGTTAAAAAAAAAATGATTGTGACGAAAAAATAAAGTCTCGTATTTGATTATCGTCAAAGACGAATTGAACTATATTATTGCTAGTCAAATGTAAGACTTAGTCCACGCTCTATCATTTTAGTGTAAATAATATTATTTCTTAAAGAAAAAAAATCAAATCCTCAATTTGATATGATTGTTATGAAAAAATAAATCGAAGCAAACTAAACCGAACCAAATAATATAATATCTTGATTAGGCCGCAATTTTAGCGTAAAAACCGATCCAGACCCCAAATTCCATTTGTATCAAATCCATGGCAAATCCAAATACAATATTAAACCCAATTACCAGCTTTAGGCCCAATGTAAGACCGTACAACCATATCAAACGACAAACGGTGATTCTCTTCTGACGTATCTGACGGTGTGCCGTCTCAGCCACAGCTGATACATCAACGTATAAAACGAATCGAACGGCTCCGGTGTCTCGTTCCACATAAAGTGCCGACTTGCAGCCACACCTAATTGTCTCATCTTTTCGTGCCGCTCCCAACACGCGCGACCCAACACGAGCTTCAGGTCCGTCACTACCCCGCCACGACGTCCCACGAACAACGCGATCTCCTGCCACCTCAGCACGTCCGAGAACGGCAGGTCGTGGATCGGACGGTCGGTAATCACCACCGGCACGCACCCGAAACGCAGCGCCTCCCAGATCCCCGACACGTCGCCTCCTCCGTACTCGAACAGACAGAATTTGCTCCCGCCGAGTCTGTCCGCGAAAGTATTCAGATCCGACGGCTTGGATTCGATCAGAAAATCGGGGTCGCTGCTCAGTTCCTTGACTAACGTTGACTCTTTGACCCAATCGAACTTGGCGTAGCCCAAGAAACTCGTGGTGTTGGTCGTCGGCGCGGGAGTGCTCGGGACCGGCGGAAGCGAAATGTCCTTGTGAGGGATGAACTTCCCGGCCGGCGTCGGGAAGCACGAGATCTGGACCGAGTTTTTCTTCAACTCGACGAGATTCCGGTCCGATTCGTACCCGATGCCGGTGCATGAGAGGTAGAAATGGTCAGCGCCGAGGGTGCGGTTCCAGTAGGGAAGCTCGGTGCGGAGCGATCTGATGAGGCGCGAGACGGAGCGCGGGGGGAGGTCGGAGGGGAAGGGGACGAAGAAGAGATGGGCTTTTTCGGGGTTTTCGGTGGGGAAGTGGCTGTCCTGGAGGCGCGTGTAGAAGAGCGATTGGGATGGGGAGGTAAAGGGGAAGGTGCTGTTTGAGTTGTAGATGAAGATTTTGAAGGAATTGAACATGTTTTGGTAATTTGGGTGAATTGTGTTGGGTGAGAGGTAGGGGGAAGTGAGGGGCTGGGAATGAGCGGCGAGGACGGTGGAGAGAGAGAAGTGGAGGAGGAGAAGCCGTAATATAGAGGCGGTGGACATTTTGAAACGGCCAAATGGGGGCCTTAGACTGTGAAACTTCACTCTTTCTCACTGGTAATGCGTGAGGTTGAAGACGAAGAGGAGAAGATGCCAATTGTTTAAAGGGCGACGAAATGGTTTAAACTGTGAAGTGGTGGCAAGGTTGCGTCCCACCGGGAAGCAAGGCGTGGTCCATTTATTTATTATTTCGGACAATGAGTGGGTGATTAATACAATGCTGAGATAATCACTGTACTAATATAAAACTAGATTAGCGATTTATAAGAATGTGCTTGTTTGTGTTAATTGTTAATTGAGAGATTAGTCAAATATTGTTAGATAAATTAAATTTGTAGACTAAATTTTGTAAATTAAATGACATAGAAGTTAATGATTGAATTAACGTGCCTATTTTTTAATCTAGACTTTTATCTCTAATGTGGATCGCTGACAACATCAACTTTTACGCGTGGCATGCGCTTATGCATAAACAATTCTTATTTGGTGGCGTTGTAGTTTGTTGAGTTATTCGATCTATTAATGAGCAAAAATTGCTAGTATTATGTAAGCATGTAACTTAAATAAAGAGTTTTTTTTTTAAATAAACGATATTATTTATATTATAATAGCAGAATAGTAGATTAACCCTCATAATGATTTTGTGAATGTGAGTGCTCCAAATCAATATCCGTACTTTTTCTTTAACTACTCTTTTTAGTATTTCGATTTTGCATAGGCATGGGAGCAATGTGTCCAATCAAAAAACACCACGTAAAAACAACCATAAAATCATGAAATCTTAACGAGATTGTGAACACGAAAATTTCCTGAAAGGAAAGAGACAAGAACAACGTACACAAAATAATATTTGTGTTTTTTGATTTTTTGGGGTTACAATCTCTCTCAAATTTGATCCTCTGATTCGATCTCCGTAAGGTATTGATTTGTGGATGTTTCGTTGATCCAAGGGCCGTCGAGGCTTGATCTTGGATGAACTGTTGGAAGTTTCTTCAAGGGGCCGTGGGCTTGATCTTTGAAGGTAGATTTGAGCGGATCTTCAAGGAGCCGTTGGGGCTTAATCTTGAGGATGAGTGTTTCTTCAAGGGCCGTTAAGACTTGATCTTGAATAACGGTGATGAACGGATCTTCAAGGGCTTTTGGGCTTGATCTTGAAGAACGGTTGGATGTGTGGATTTGTCGACGTTGTTGATCCAAATGGTCGTTGGGGCTTGATCTTGGATGAACGGATGATGAACGATGGTGCTTTCTTCAAGGGCCGTTGGGGCTTGATCTTGAATTGGTGGATGACTGTTAATCCAAAGGGCCGTTGGGGCTTGATCTTGGAAGAACGATGAACGAAGAACGAAGAACACTTTCTTCAAGGGCCGTCGGGGCTTGATCTTGAATTGGTGATTGTTAATCCAAGGGCCGTCGGGGCTTAATCTTGGAAGAACGGTTGGGAGCTTCTTCAAGGGCCGTCGGGGCTTGATCTTGAAGAAATGTTGTGTAGATTTGTTGATTTTGTTGATCCAAAGGGCCGTCAGGGCTTGATCTTGGAAGAACGATGAACGAAGAACACTTTCTTCAAGGGCCGTCGGGGCTTGATCTTGAATTGGTGGATGATTGTTGATCCAAAGGGCCGTTTGGGCTTGATCTTAGGATGAACGATGAACGAAGAACGAATAACACTTTCTTGATTCTTCGGGAACCTAGATGCTTGAGAGCTTCGGAGTTTCAGAGCTTCAAGGTGTAATATGAATTCGTTCCTAAATGAATGAAATTGGCTTCTATTTATAGAATTTTCCAAGGCCTAATTTTGAATATAATATTCCAGATGAAATAAGTCGTTTCTGCCAGGTGTTGACACGTGTCCTGTTTGATGACTTTTCCGATGATTCTCGATTTTTTGTTTAGACACACGCTACGTGTAAAATTTATGTAATACATGAGCGCTGAAACTTTGATTTATCGGTCAACATTTATTTACCGAAATTTCGATGTCTACAAATGCCCCCACTTCAAGGCGCGTCGTATACATGTGCTTGTCATGTGTAGGAGATTGTGTTTTGAAGTCCCTTATTGTAGATGTCGATCCAAGGGCCGTCGGGGCTTGAACTTGAATTGGGCTGGAAATTTCTTCAAGGGCCGTCAAGGCGTGATCTTGAATTTGTTTGGAATTTCTTCAAGGGCCATCGAGGCTTGATCTTGAAGGTTGAAATTGGACCACAAGGAGCTTCATGTGGTAGATGATCTTTGGCTTGGGTAGTGGATGAATCGGCACGTATTCGTTTTTTGCGCTTTGTTGACTTTCCACAGCTTTGATCTTGAACTAGGTTGGAGGATTTTCTGGATTCCTCCAATTGTTGATTTTCCACAGCTTATTCTTGAACTAGGTTTTGATTCAAGAGTGGTAGACAATTGATCTTGAATCGGACTTGTGATTTCTTCAAGGGCCATCGAGGCTTGATCTTGAATTTGGCCGGAAACTGCTTCAAGGACCGTTGAGGTTTGATTCTTGAAGGTTGACTCGAACACATGGCAAGCAGGCACGAGGTGAAGGTGACGACTTGTTGCTTTGTTCAATCTTTCTAATTCACACTTGAGCAGTTTGGTCAACGGTATGATCTTCAAGATTGATGGGCTCTTCTTCCAGTTGGTGACTTGATCTTTAAGGATTTGATTCAAGGGTGGTGAAACGACACATGCAGCCCACAACGCCTAGCAAGTCGACCCAAGAATTTGAGGGTCA